GGGCACCGCGGAGCCCCCCCCCCGGGTGCGGGGGCTGCCGCTTCTGCGGCGGGCACATGTGAAGCATTGGGAGCTCCCGGCTCCCTGGGCAGCAGGGAATCGGCGTCTGCACCCACCCACGCTGGGGTGTCCCCTCTGTTGTCCCCCCTCCACACACCGCCACACACACCCATCCGTCCATCCATCCATCCATCCCTCCATCCCTCGGTGAATGAATACATGCTGTGAAGCAGCCAAAGTTTATTGAGGCATTCTACTGCCAAAGGAGGCTGGTAAGCACTTCTGGAGGCCATCCATGGAGGTCCCCACTCAAAATCACCTAAGAGCAGCTGGGTCAGGTTGCTCAACAGCTGTGTTTCGAACATCCCAAGGATGGGCATGATTTCATAGCTTCTCTGTGCCCCTGCTCCGGTCTTTGACTACCCTTGTGGTGACTGCCTACAATATGTCAGTCTTTCCAGTACTGGAGAGCCACACATGGGGCGCAGTACTCCAGATGTAACCTCACAACTCCTGTGTGAAGAAGAATCATTTCCCTTGACCAGATGGCTACACTCATGCTGATACTGCCCAGTCTGCAGCTGGGAGCCTTCGTCACCAGGTCGTACTCCTGAAACATATTCACGGACATGTCCACGAGGACCTTACCAGCAAAGATGCTGTGTAGACAGTTGGACACTAACCTGTCTTGTACTGAATTATTCCATCACACATACAAGACTTTGCACTTGCCTTTGTTCAGCTTCATGAAGTACCTGCAGTCCATTCCTTCTACTGGCAGAGTCCCCATGAAAGGCAGTCTCATCCTCCAGCATACTGACCACTCTTCCCCAATTTTGTATCAACCACAGACTTGCCAAAGATGCATTTCACATCCTTGTCCCAAACATTAACACTAAGCACTCTGGGTTCTAAGAACAGCTGTTCCCACTTGGACTTGGAATGGCTAATCACAGCTCATTTAAACCCAATAGTCCATCTTGCTTTCCATCTACTGTTGCTACCACTTTAGCTATGAGGATACTATGGAATATCATGCTGAAAGCATTACTAAGATCAAAGCAAAACAAGATCCACTTCTTTCTCCTTGTTCATATAGCCAGTCTTCATGTCAGAGAAAGCAATCATATTGATGGAGTATGATTTGCCTATGGTGAGAGCAAGATGGCTGCTCCCAGTCCTAGACATCTTCTTATCCTTCACCTGCTTGGACAAAGCTTCCAGGAGGACTTGCTCTGTAACCTTTCCCAGAAAAAAAGTTAGGCTAACTGGCTCATAGTTTCTCCTCATTTTGTTTTCTTTGCCTTTCCTGCGTGGTGCTTGCTTTTTTTCCAGTCATTAGGGAGCTTTCCCTAAGACTTTTTGAAGACGATAGTGGCTTCGCAATATCAGCTAGCTACCTCAATGCCCCATGTAGTCTCATGGGTTTCTCTATGTCTAATTGACGTAAGTGCCCATAAATCTATCATATCTACCTCAGATAATGCTTCACTCACACATACTCTGATACTAGGCTGAGGGATCTGAGCCTCCAGAAGCCTTGGCAAAAAAGGCACCGCGTATCTCAATCTTTCCGCATCTTTTATCATGAGGTTTCCTGCCCCACTGATCCTTGGGCCCACTTTTTCCCCATAGTCCAATCCTACCTAAAGGAGTGTACAAAATTTCGGCACTATTTTGAACATCCTAATGTTCAAATCCCAAATCTAGCTGAAGCAGAATTTCACAATCTGTCTGTTGTTCAGGCTATTGAGATATGATAGCATTTGAGGTACTTGCTTGTCTGCTTTTGACTTTCTATAAGTAGCTGGGTGCAGATCAGCCTCCAGAATGATGAAGGTAAAGGTGCTTCATCCAAAAATATATATATTTTTTTGTATTATAACAAAGAGTCCATAACCAATTAGCATCCCCATTACTAATTCATATGAAATGATGAAAGTAGTAGTATTGGGCTGCTTCTTGCTCTTTTCTTGAATGACTTTACTCTTACTTTTCCAAATAAAGCTCACTGGAGACAATGCTAAAGCACATGAGAAAAAAAAATCTATGTGGAGTAGTATGACACAAGTGCAAATAGACACCTGTTCATATAACACCTTAAGTACAAACAACACAGACATCCATGGAGGAGGTGGCTCACAACACAGTTGCAGCCTGGATGAAAGCAGATTTACTTAGCATGTGAGGTAAAGATACAATTTTCAGTTAATGGTTTTGTAGGGGTGCAGACACACATGTATCTTCTTATTCATTTAGCCAACACCCAACATCCAAACACAATTATATATAGGTAAAAATGAATGTACAACATGCTTCTGCATAGAAAAAAGAGAATGCTCAATAAAAAATGAGGGATTTCAAGAGCAAATGCTCTTTATCTTAAGATAGATAGTAATGTAAGAGTTTGCATGCACCTAAATATGCACATATGCTTAAATATACTCTGTGGAGAATGGTAATCCTGTCCTTTACCTAGATAGTTTGTAAGCTTAATATGCAAATGCAATTTTGCTACAAAAGATTATCACAATTTTTTCTTTATTCAAAGCCAGAACAGATAACAGGCCTTTGACACAGACCTAGGAGTAATAGAGTAATATTCTGCTTAAATACAGATGACATATATAGGATATAGATGCCAGGAAAAAAAAAAAGTATGATCAGTACATTAAATTCACATAATGAAACAATTAAAAATGAGGAAATATCAGCTTTGTTACCATATTTCACCGTTAACATGTCCTGAGATAGATGGCTGTATATAATGCATAAGGAAGTAAGCTGAGTCTATATGAAGAGGTAGGATAAAATACTGAGCTAAGTATCTTCAACAGGAAGCTGTCTTCACATTAATTGGACCCAAGAATGTCACCTTAAAATGATTACGATTTCAAATATCCTTGGGATTTTTTTTTGTGGAAACCATCTCTTCACAGTTCCATAGCATTTACCTTTTCTTTTGAAATAGCATGAAATCACTTGTTATTTGTCCCAGAAGTACCACTGCATGCCTGTTTTCCCTGCATTCCATCATTTCCACATCTTTTTTTTTCCCTGTCTGCTTCCCATGCTGTCCAAAAGTGACACCAACTCTCTAATTTTGTTGCTATTGTCAAAACTCAGAAGCCATTGAGGCATAACACTGTAGCAAGTAGAAAAAAGTTATCAAGTGAATCAGCCTTTTCTGTCTGTTTGTTTTCTCAGAGCCATAACTTCTAGCTTGTAAGAAACAGCTTGGTGGTGTCAGGCTATACACAATTAAAAGGGAGAAAGAGAATTTTCTTAATCACTGTACCACAAATATGATCAGGGCTTTTTAAAATTACAACAGTCTGCTTAAAAAACAAGTGAAAATTAGAACTTTGTGCCTAAATTTAGAGGCAGAGATATAGAAGCATGTTGCCTTCCCTTGGGTAGTAGTATAAGAAGGATAATCATAAACAGAAGCAAAGGTAACATACTTTGAGAGCTGGTTTACAGTATATTTTTGTAATTTTGGTACATTTTTTGCATAATTTTGTTTTTGTACATTTTTTGAAAGTGCATTTGAACCCAAAATAAACTCATATGATCCACTAATAGTGACATATTTTACAGCGTGGTGTCAGGTTGTCACTATTTATGTATCAATATTTACCTGTACATCTTTTCTATGCATCCTAATGTTTCACAGACCACATTTACCTTGTTGTCAATCACGGTTTTTCAGAGGGTTTCAGGGATATTATCAGACTTAGGGACACGGTTTAGCAGGCATGGTATTGAAGGGTTTACAGTTGTACTCAATGATCAGGAAGGTCTTTTCCAACCATAATGATTCTATGTTTCTTTGATTTAGCTCATTTATTGGATTATTTATCCTGACAGAAGTAAGTAAGTAATAATAATAATAATAATAAAATACGAGATGCTTTAAATTGGTAGAATTGTATCCAGATGAAGGACTAAACTGCATCACTTAGTACTTTCACTTTGACCTAAACTAGCTAGGCATACAAATTGGACTAAACAGCTTTTACAAGCAACAAGTCCAACATAGATAGGCAGAAACAGCATTAGCATAGACTGGTTCATCTCTTGGTGGTGCTAAAATTGATATGGGGCAGGTGAATCTCAGTTGTGTGTGTATCTTCAGCACTAAAATGAATGCTCAAAGTTAATTTGCTGATTAACAACACTGGAGACATCCAATCTTTTCATCAGTAGCCTACTGAGCTCAGAGGGGCTCTTTGCATTTTAAGGGTGTGGGAAGACACTTAGGACAAGGAATTTGAAGTAGTAACACTGTAAGCATCAGAATTAAACAACAAGTCAGTAACACACACAAACTGGCAGAAGGGGAGGGGAAGGAAACTCTCAGCTTAATAATATGCCTGGCTTTATGCCCAGGTAAAAGTGAAGGAAGAAGAAGGTGTGTTAATCAGCTGAATGATTAATGGAGGTAGTACTGCTCACCACCAAAAGGGAAGCATAGCTAGAATTTAGATAAATATATTTAACACTTTTCACACCTGAATAATTCCATATTCTAGTTTGCACAAATACTTGTTCCAGAACCTCTACCCAC